GATAGCAAAATGGTTTTCAATATCTATTAAAATCCTTTTTAACGTAATTTTTTTTTCAAATTAATTGATTTGATTAATAATAAATTTATTTTTCAGATAATTCTAAAAATATTATTTTTATATGGAAAACTAGTTTTCAACATTTATTGAAGTCTTGCGAAGATCTTTACAAGTATATCACTAAAAAACTTCAATTACATCACACAAAAAAATCTTAAATCGAATCAAGTTAATATTGACTTCCATCAACAATTTTATAACAAAAAAAAATAGTGATATGAACTGAGATCACGATCGAAGAACATTGTTCCTTCATCTCCGAAACTTCAATTCTTATTCTGTGCTTTCCATCTTCCACTAGTAGAATACGGACTGTAAGTTGGCGCAAGACCAAGGATCCTTTGAACTATAGTAGAATACGTACTTGAAGACATCTTCGTTCTACAAAATTTTAGATTAAATTAAAGGATTTTATCTCCTGGATAAGCTTTAGAAAATTTTGTTCGAGCAATAACCATTTAATTTGTAAGTATAGTGCGGGATTACCTGTACGTTACATTCCTTCAAACCGTGTAGCACAGTGCACACGCACCAAATGATTCTAACCTGACAAATGATTAGTCGTACATGAAGAAATCGAAAGCATAAAAAGATAGAAAACAAGAAAGCTTCTGTTTTTGAAGGTTTCGAAAATATAAGTGAGAGATATCAAGTTATTAGTGTGTGTTTAAAGATTGTTTTGAAAACGTTTTTCAAAGATAATAAAAAAATTTGGGCGTAGTGGGCGTGAAAATAGGATTGTAGGTGCGGGAAAAAAATTTATTTGTTGATTTCGAGAAAAAGAAAATAATTCGCTATTAACAAAAAAGTAATTAATACATGTAAAAAATAATTATTGTTATGAATAAAATCTCGCATAATCCTACTGTTTTTTTTTCCGTTTTTCTTCCGACTACCTCATTTTTATTAGACAGAAAAGTAATTATATTGAATCTTAAAAAATATGTAATCGATATTAATTTGTTAAAACTACTTGTATCAATTATTAATTGAAGTTAATAAATAGAATATATATTATCAATAATTTCTTTTTTTTAAACTAATACATATGTCGATTGTTTTATTGATGTAAATCGGTTTTATTAGTGTCAAATAACCTGAGTTTTATTCAATCGATATA